ACTATGTTAAAATGGGAACAGGGCTTACAATTCTGATTTACAGCTAAAAAGGGCAACTTCTATTTAAAACTATACTCAGTGATGGAATATACCTCAAAAACAAACATTTGGTCTGACCATCTTTAATACTGGTGAAGAGTCTAATGATTGTTGCCAATGAAAATTATTTTCATCCAATGTGCAAAAGAAGTAAAGCTGTCGTGTTCCTCATGACAAAAATACTCAGGGTCACTCCAGGGGAACTGGGCTGCACGGGGTAACCACACAAGAGACAGAGAGACCTTTTTCTTTGGGTCCTGTGACAGCTCTTCTGACCTTAAGGATCCACAGAAAAAGAGAGCAAGAGAGCACGTGCTGACCCCTTTTACTGAGGAGAAGCCACTCAAATGGGGGCTGAGTCTAGCTTCATGATGTCCACTGTCAGCAAGCAGGTTGACTGACATCTAGGAAGGCCACACCCAAGGGCAGAGCAAGAGAAGGGGACACACAAAGGGCATTTCCATGGAACATTCTATCCCAAACAGGGCGAGGGGGTAATATCACAAAGGAGCAGGTGAGCGTAGCTCAATCCATGGGGCTGCAGGAAGGCGCGCCTATGCATGAAGGAATACACATTCTGCTACCTCGAGGATCGGGGCAGTCAATATCTAGGTCACTATGAAAGTGACCGACAGAGCCTCTTCTGATCATGGGAAAGAGAATGCCAGTCATTCAGCGAGACCACCTCCCATATACAGCTGTTTGCTTTTACTTGAAATACTTGATTTTTCTTTTCTTTCTTTTTTTTTTTTTTTTTTTTTTTTTGGTACTGGGGATTGAACACAGGGCCACTGAGCCACATCCCCAGCCCTTTTTTAAAAAATATTTTATTTAGAGTCAGAATCTCACTGAGTTGCTTTGGGCCTTGCTAAATTGCTGAGGCTGGCTTTGAACTCGCAATCCTCCTGTCTCAGCCTCCTGAGCTGCTGGGAATACAGGTGTGCGCCACCATGCCCAGCACATCTGCTTTAAAGATGAGTCGCAGAGAGCCCAAAAGCCTGATGACATTGTTTATCTGCATAAATGCATCTGAAGAAGCATTTCTATTCATGCTCTAATTCTGAGTCTAAACACTAATCCAATTTCAAAATCAATCAAGAGTTTTTTAGATCCAGGAAGTCTTAGAATTGTTGCACATGTGAGAATTGTGTCTCTGAGAGCCTTTTCTACCCTGCTCCCCTCTGGTGCACTCCACAGGTCCCTGCGGGGGCAGAGTAGCAGTGCCCCAAGTAAGGGGGACCTAACATCTCAGCMCCTAGACCTCCCGCCTCCTGGTGGGTGTGCTCCGCCTTTGGTATGTGACTGCAGCTTTCAGGGTAGACACAGGGGCCGCCCGCATGGACAGAGACCTCACAGTAGTGAGAACAGTGGTTTCCAGAGGCTGGGAGGGGTGGGGGAGGTGTGGAGAAGGAGGACATGGGTACAGGGGTGAGTTGGTCAGGAGGAATAATTTCCCGTGTCCACAGCCAGTAGGGTAAGTCCGGTGGACAGCTTAATGGCATTTTCCTTCCCTCCCTTCCCTTTTCTATTCCCTTCTTTCCCTTTTCTTTTTCATGGGGTCTTGCTGTGTTGCCCATGCTGCCTTTAAACTCCTGGGCTCAAGCGATCCCCCTGTCTCAGCCTCTGATTAGCTGGGACTAGAGGTGATTGCCACTGTGCTTAGTTAATGGTAGTGAGGATGTTCCCAACCAAGAAATGATGACTGTTTGAGGTGATGGATATACCGGTTACCCTGATCTGAGCATTACATGTTGTTCACATGTAATTGAAATGTCCCACTGGAGCCCATAAATATGTACAATTTTTATCTGTCAGTTAAAAGTAATGTTTCTAGGCACTGGGGATTGAACCCAGGGATGCTGAACTGCTGAGCTAGATTTCCAGTTCTCTTGGTTTTTTATTTTGAGACAGGGTCTCACTGAGTTGCCCAGGTTGGCCTCAAACTTGCCATCCTCTTGCCTCAGCCTCCTGATTAGCTGAGATTCCTGTAGTGTGCCACCATGACTGGCTTTAAAAAAAAGAGGAGAGAAAAAATGTACAAAGAAACACTTCAGTGAGGAAATTATGATTTGTTGACAAAACTATGAAAACTAGTGACATAAAAAATTGACAAGTCAAATATAACTCTGATACCATTCTGCATTTCCCAGTTGTGCAGTGTTCTTGATTGACCACCCACCAACGTTTTCTGTATCTATGGGCAGTACTTTTATTCAGTTATTAAAACAGTTTTGATGACAGTCACATGTAATTATGATGACCAGGAAATCAATTTCCTCAGCGATTACTTGGCACAGTGTGCTCGCCAGCATGGTGAGTGCAGAGGAGTTAAAAACAGAACAGCGAGCCGGGCACCATGGTGCAGGCCCGTAATCCCAGCGGCTCTGGAGGCTGAGGCTGGAGGATCACAAGTTCAAAGCCAGCCTTGGCAATGGTGAGGCGTTGAGCAACTCAGCGCTCCTTCCCCTTGTTCTAGTGACGGGCTCTTTCTGACTACTGCTCTGCCTGGGGTTGTCCCTGGATGGCCCTGGGAACTCGCTTCTTTTCACTGAGCTCGTTGTCCTTGTGCTGTTTGGGTCAGAAGCCTTGGCAAGTGCTTCAGTGCAGGGGCCACACAAGGGCTTTTCCCTCTGGACTTCTTGTCTGGTCCTGGGGCATGAGCACGGATGGCATGGAAACCACTGTGGCTTCTTCCATGCTTCTTCCCGTCTTGAGATGCTGATCAGTGGTGTCTGGGGACATGCACCACTATCAGGTGGGCTATCAGGTGTTCATCCAGTGGGCTCTGGCACATTTCACAATCAGATGGCCTGTCCTCCCTGTGGAGTTTTTAAGCTTCTTCAACCTGCCTTCATCAGGAAATATCTTCCTGTTTGCTCCTGAGGGTGACCAGAAAGCCAGTCTGCATCTTTGGTCACTGRCTGCTATCAGGCACCTCACGTCTGCTCATCAGTGCTCATCACAAGTGTCAGGGCTTGAGGGTCTGCAACCTGGGCCTGCTGATTTCAGGGCACCATGGATTCTACGTCCTGCCTGTATCAGTGTACTTTTCTAAACCTCTTGCTCCCCAGCCCCCCCCCTCTTTTTTTGGTATCAGGGATTGAACCCAGGGGTGCTGAGTTACTGAGCCACATCCATTTTATATTTTATTTTGAGACAGGATCTTTCTAAATTGCTTAGGGCCTCGCTAAGTAGCTCAGACTTGTGATCCTCCTGCCTTAGCCTCCCGAGCTGCTAGGATTACAGGTGTGCACCACCATGCCTGGCTTTCCCCAGCTCTTTCAAATCAATTCCTGCCCCCTGGGCTTTGTCYCAGGACAATTTTGGTCCCCCTGGCTCTGGGGCATAGATATCGGTGCAATCCGTCATCCTGATCTCTGGTTTCTTCCACTCTTCATCCTGCATGTCTGCAGCACCTCCAAGGGGGTGATGCATTTTGAGACAATGCTTTCTTATTGGTTGACCATTGTTTTCATCAGCACTAGACACATCATACTTCTGAGAAGAGAGTTTATCAAAAGAAAAAAACTCTGGATACAAAGAATTGAGAAGAGAGTTTATTTAAAAAACTTCTGGATACCAAGAATCTCCCCAGATAGGACAGATGACGACATCATTAAGTTAGTGGCTTTTTAGGGCTTGGTGTGTACATGTCGCTTAGGACCTCTTGGGATATACCAGGATGGAGAACATCTGTTTYCGCTTCTGAAACCCTGTCTGCCCCTTGCCTCACGGGAAGCGCTGTACATAGGCGCTGCTAAGGGTGAGAACACGTGCTCTGAACTCCATGTCATCAGCCACAACTGCAACAGCACAAAATTCTCCTTGCAGGCGTTCAGCTGTTAGTGTTTTCAGAAACCGAGTTCCACGATTACTATCATTGTAGTTCGTGGTTGCAGACATATCCATAACAATTACATGGACAGCTAAGGCTCCTACCTTAATGCCTCAAACACCCAAATCTTCAGGTCAGAGTAACTGTAGTTGGTACATAAGCCCTGCCTTGGGCCACAGTCCCAGCCAGTGCACTCACCAGCACGCAGGCTGGGGCTTGGTGGGTGGGGCTGGAGGCCACTAGGATACTCTATTCCCTTCAACCAAGAATGGAGGCAGTTCCCAAAAGTGCATGCAGTATAAAAGAATTGAGTGAGACCGACAGCGCTTTGGAAGAGAGGAATACACAGGAATATGTAACAGTTTCTTCCCTCTAACTGCGGTGGGGATTTGGCTTTAAGCTTCCTGACACAAAGGCAAAGCTGTAGCCGAGCTGGTTGAGCCCTTTCCTGTTGGAACTGTGAGTCCTTCTGCCATGCTGCTGAGATGGCATCTCGGCCCTGATGACAAAGATGGTAGAACTAAAGCAGTCTGGAGGGTATCTTTTCTGTTTTAATCATTGAAAACCTCCTCTGAGCTACTGACAATCCCATTACTGGAGAGTAGGTGTAGGGCTGGGCCTGCGCCAAGGACTGACCCTGCTGGGGCCTGGGTGGGTGCAGCTTCACGAGCATCAGATTTCAGTCTGGAGCCAAGGGTTGGGTCTGGGCTCTCAGAGCCCCATGGTAGCAGGAGGGAAATCCTGTGTGGTCTGTGGAGACTGATTGGGGTCCAAAGCTACAAGTGAGAACTAAACCAGTTAAAGATGTAAGACTTTTGGAAAAACCATTTACTGTATGTACTTGAATCCTGCCAGCAATTCCTGAGCATACAGTTGTGTATGTGAGTGTGTGAGTGTGTGTGTGAATTTTCACTGTGCTATATTGGCACATCTGTGTGAAAGCAGATGTAAAGTTTATGCTTAAATTTCTTAACTTTTGGGCTTAGTCATCTTTTGACAAAGTAATCTAGGATAACCTTATATTTTAGTTTCTAACTAACGATAATAAATAAAAAGGACACATTTATGTCAATATATTGGCTCACAGTGTACAGTGGGTTTAAACATTTCCTTTCTTTGTTTCCAGGATTTTGACTCCTTCTTCTCTGCAAAAGAAGAGAATATTATCTATTCCTTCCTTGGCTTGGCTCCCCCTCCGGGCTCAAAGGTAAGCTTGGTCCCCCATTGGGGCTCAGTGCAGGGTATGATAAAGGAAGACAGAAATTGGCAAACAACACTGGTTAGTAAATGGTGATCTTCAATTTACAAAATCACAAAAGTTTCACAAATTTTGTGAGATTTATGAAATGCTTCATGAATTTGCCTGTCAGCCTCCTATGGAGACCCTGCTAGTCTTTTCTATATTGTTTCTGTTTGGGTATATGTGTTGCCAAAGCAAGAGCTAACATGATTTTAGCATACCATATTCTGAAAGATTCTTTCCCCTAGTGATAATGCAGAATATTTACTAAAACAAAGTTATGCTTTTTATATTTTTGATGTTTTCACCATTTTATAATAAATTTTATAAAACTTAAGAAACTTAAGAAATGTTAGGGCTGAGGATATAGTCAGTGGTAGAGAGCGTACCGGGCATTTGTGAGGCCCTGGGTTTGATCCAGCACTGCAAAACCAAAACCAAAACCAAAAAACAAAAAATAATCTTAAGTGTTTTCATAAAATATGTGAAACTAAGAATTCTTAGCTTGTGTTTATGAAATTATTTTGTCATGAATTTGCTTCTCATATAGCTTATGTTAATTTAATAATAATAGATGCCCTTAGGTTAATCATTTCTACTTAAAATGCTCTGAACTTGCTTTTTAGTGGATAAACAAGGGAAAAGCAAGAGCTAGACTCAAGCACAAGCCAGATCCTGTCCCATCAGGTTGTTTCATTGTGTGTCGTCTCATCTTTGAACACATATAATTAAATAGGAAATCACTCTAGTGAAGCCAAGGCCACCATCTGGATGTCCTGTGTGGATGGCCCATTTCACCTGGGGGGTGGCCACTGCTCCGCTGGCCTCAGCCAAGACTCATTCACTGAATTCAGTTCCCACTTGTAAGTTCGCAGAGTCCCTCTGGTGCCTGCCTGCCACCAGAACTGGCTTCCCCTCTCCTCTCTTCCTTCTAGATGGTTCTCCCTTCTCCTCTCTGCCAGGTTCTCTCTCTCAATAGCCATCTATCTCCCATATTCCCACCACTTCGCAGTCCCCTCCCTCCAGACCTTGTGGTGGGAGGGGAAAGTCTGGTTTATGTCCAAAGGCCTATTAGGGGGTTTTCTAAACAAAGTGACTTTGCTGTCCCAGGTCAATAATAATGTGGCAAGGCCAGGCATGGTGGTGTGCATCTTTAATCCTAGTAGCTTGGGAGGCAGAGGCAGGAGGATCATGAGTTCAAAGCCAGCCTCAACAATTTAGCAAGGCCCTAAGCAACTCAGCAAGACCCTGTCTCTAAATAAAATATAAAAGGGGTTGGGATGTGGCTCAGTGGTTAAGCGCCCCTGGGTTCAATACCTGGTACAAACAAACAAACAAAAACCAAAAAACAAAAGTGGCAAAACTTTGAAAAGAAAGTTTTTTTTTTTTAAGCCTTAGGTCATAGATCAAATTCTTAGAGCCACCTTTTGCACCTAGATTCAAAGGGAGAGAGTCAGAGTACAAAAATGTATTCTCTCCCTACTCACAGCAAATCCCAGGAATCACATTTTCTGCATTTCTTCCCTTTGCAATGTTTCTTCTTCCTATTATCTTTTTATAGCATTAGGATTTCTTTCTTTCTTTTTTTTTATGGTATGGCTCTAGTATTCATGACACTTAAAACTTTTCTCAAATACTCTATCACATTGTATCATAATTGGTTTATTCATTCCTATACTTTTTATTTTTACTTATTAATGTATCATAAATTTGTTTATGCAATTACAAGCTCATACTATTGTTTAAATAGTTTATAAAACATTTTATTGTGTAAATGTAACATAATTTTCTGTTCTTTGCTTACAATTTTGAACCTTTGATTTATTAATTATAAATAACTCTGCAGTGATTGTGGCAGGGAAATGGTGTTCTTTCTTTTGGGGTATTTCCTTAGGATAAATCCCCAGTAACCCTTTTAGTGAGACAAAGTGCACAAATATTATTATGGATTTGAAATGAGCCACCAAATTGTTCTGTCAGAGGATTATACCATTTATCCTACTATGACATGGTAGATCAACCTCACTGTTCAGAGATGAGTGTGTTTAATCTCCTTGATCTGAGAACATTAGGTTCTATTTTTAAAAATTGCTTTTGATTTTATTGTGCTAYGAAGGGGATTTAGTCTGATGAATTTTCATCTTAAGTATGGTTTTGTAACTCAGCATGTATTTTGTTATATTTTTTATTGACAAATTAATATTTATTATATACAACAGGATGTTTTGAAATGTTTACATTGTAGAATGGCTGATTTGAGCTAATTTACATACACATCACCTTACATACTTATCATTTTATTTGTGGTGAGAACAATTAAAATCTAATCTTTTAGTGATTTTCAAAATATAATATATTTTCATTTACTGTGGACATCATGTTGAACAATAGATCTCTTGAACTTATTCCTCCTAACTAACAGGCGATATATATATATATTTTGGTGCTGGGCATTAGATCCCAGGGCCTTGTGCATGTAAGGCAAGCACTCTACCAACTGAGCTGTATCCCCAGCTCCAGAAATATGTATTTTAATTTTTCTCTGAAAAGACTCTCTTTTAAGTAATAAAATTAATTTTTAAAAAATATTTTTTAGGGGCTGGGGTTGTGGCTCAGCGGTAGAGCGCTCGCCTAGCATGTGGGCTTGATCCGCAGCACCACATAAAAATAAATAAGTAAAGATATTGTATCCAACTAAAAAATAAATATTAAAAAAAAGAATTAAAAAATTATTTTTTAGGGTCTGGGATTGTGGCTCAGTGGTAGAGTGCTTGTCTAGCATGTGCGAGGCCCTGGGTTCGATCCTCATCATCACATAAAAATAAATAAACAAAATAAAGGTACTGTATCCAACTCCTTCTAAAAAATAAATATTAAAAAATATTTTTAGTTGCAGATGGACACAATATCTTTAATTTATTTATTTTAATTAGGTCTATATGACAGCAGAATGCATTTTGATTCATTGTACACAATTGCAGCACAACTTTACATTTGTATGGTGTACACGATGTAGCCTCACACCCTATGTGCAGTCATACATGTAGCTAGGGTAATGATGTCCATCTCATTCCACCATCTTTCCTGCCCCCAGGCACCCTGCCCCTAGGCACCCTCCTTCCTCTCCCTCCCCTTTGCCCAATCAAAGTTCTTTCATTTTTCCCATGCCTCCCGCTTCCTGTTATGGATCAACTTTCACTTATCAGAGAGAAYGTTTGGCCTTTGGTTTTTTGGGATTGGCTTCCTTCGCTTAGCATTATATTCTCCATCTCCATCCATTTACCTGCAAATGCCATAATTTTATTCTCTTTTAATGCTGAGTAATATTCTATTGTGTATATATACCACAGTCTCTTTATCCATTTATCTGTTGAAGAGCCTCTAGGTTGCTTCCACAGTTTAGCTCTTGTGAATTCAGCTGCTATGAACATTGATGTGGCTGCCTTACCATATATAGTATGCTGATTTTAAGTCCTTTGGATATAGACTGAGGAGTGAGATAGCTAGGTCAAATGATGGTTCCATTCCAAGTTTTCTAAGGAATCTCCATACTGCTTTCCATATTGGCTGCACCAATTTGCAGTCCCACCAGCAATGTATGAGTGTGCCTTTTCCCCACATCCTCTCCAACACTTATTGTTGTTTGTATTCTTAATAGCTGCCATTCTGATTGGAGTAAGATGAAATCTTAGAGTAGTTTTGATTTGCATTTCTCTAATTACTAGAGATGTTGAACATGTTTTTTATATATTTGTTGATTGAGTGTATATCTTCTTCTGAGAAGTGTCTGTTCAGCTCCTTAGTCCATTTATTGATTGGGTTGTTTTTTTGGTGGTAAGTTTTTTGAGTTCTTTATGTATCCTGGAGATAAGTGCTCTATCTGATGTGTGTGTGGCAAAAATTTTCTCCCAAGATATGGGCTCTCTGTTCACCTCATTGATTGTTTCTTTTGCTGAGAAGAAGCTTTTTAGTTTGAATTCATCCCATTTATTAATTCTTGATTTTATTTCTTGTGTTTTAGGAGTCTTTTTAAGGAAATTGGGGCCTAATCTGACATGATGAAGATTTGGGCCTACTTTTTCCTCTGTTAGGTGCAGGGTCTCTTGACTAATTCTTAGGTCCTTGATCTACTTTGAGTTGAGTTTTCTGCATGGTGAGAGATAGGGGTTTATTTTCATTTTGCTGCTATGGATTTCCATTCTCCCAATGCCATTTGTTGAAGAGGCTATCTTTTTTTCCACTGTATATTTTTGGCACCTTTGCCTAGAATGAGATAACTGTATTTATATGGGTTTGTCTCTGTGTCTTTTATTCTGTACCATTGGTCTACATTTCTATTTTGGTGCCAATATCATGCTATTTTAGTTACTATAGCTTTATAGTATAGTTTAAGGTCTGGTATTGTGGTGCATTTTGCTTCACTTTTCTTGCTAAGGATTGCTTTGGCTATTCTGAGTCTCTTATTTTTCCAATGAATTTCATGATTTCTTTTTCTATATCTATAAGGAATGACATGGGGATTTTAATTGGAATCGCATTGACTCTGAATAGCACTTTGGGTAGTATGGCCATTTTGACAATATTATTTTTGCCTATCCAAGAGCATAGGAGATCTTTCCATCATTCAAGGTCTTCTTCAATTTCTTTCTTTAGTGTTCTGTATTTTTCACTGTAGAGGTCTTTTACCTCATTTGTTAAGTTGATTCCCAAGTATTTTATTTTATTTTTTTGAGGCTATTGTGACTGGAGTAGTTTTCCTAATTTCTCTTTCAGAGGATTCATCACTGATATAGAAATGTATTTGATTTATGGGTATTGATTTTATATCCTGCTACTTTGCTGAATTCATTAATTAATTCTAGAAGTTTTCTGGTGGAGTTTTTTGGATCCTCTTAGAATCATATCATCAGCAAATAATGATAGTTTGAGTTCTTCTTTTCCTATACATAGCCCTTCAATTTCTTTTA